TTGTATATTGCGGGTGGACACGATTCCCTTCGCTGTGAAGTTGAAACCGTTGATGACCCATTCGTTGTAAAGTTTTGCTTCGAGTCAAATATCCTTCATCGTGAAGTTAAAATCTACTCTCGAGCAAATTGTCTCGTTTCGAGTCCAATCTCCTTCGCTGTGAAGTTGAAATTGACTCTAAAAGCTGTAAAAAAAATTATGTGTGCTAAAAATGATAAATGTGATGCTCTTAAGTATGTCTAAGATGCATGCAACATGAACGAGTTATGTTTTATCTCTTGGATTGGAGTCCTGTGTTTTGTCTGCCAATATGATCTATGGAATCGATCGTGCCCCATTTGCTTTTCGAGCTTTGGCTTTACCAACCTTTCGCATTTGAGACTGTCCTGTTTGAAAATATTTTTCTCATTTTTCTTGTTTTAGGAGGGAAAATGATAAAAATTATGTAAAATATTGTTCGCAATTGAATCAAATTGTAAACATGAGTTCAAAGTATATCAAATGAATCAATAGCTATTTTTAATGCTTTTAGAGTTATAGCTCTTTGAAAAATGTTCAGATGGATGAGTTGACTTCAGGTTGACTTCCTTTCTAAGGTTTTGGTAACCCAAAATGTCATTTTTTTGAAATATCGCAACATGTTTTTTATTTGGTTTGGCATTTTAACTGGGTGCGGACAAAATGACACAACTAGCATGATCAATTACTAGACCTTTTATTTCAGTCCTCTGAAATCTTCCATTTTGTTCAAGTTTTGTAAGTTTCTTTAATAAAGGTAGTGTAGAAATATCGGTTTAAAAATGAAATTCTTGAGTGCTCGTGTGTATTTGACTATAACAGGTGTTCCTTAACTCCCTTAGTCCATCATTACCGAAAATTTCTTGTTTAGATAAATTTGATTTAATTTGCCATTATCTGGCTAGCCAAATCCATAAAGCTAGGGCGTTTAACCAATTGCTTTAGAGGGAAAGCTTAATATTATAATCACTTTTATCAGGTTAACTGAAGGGTTCATCTCATCACAAAGTCTTCAGCCTGACAATAGCAGTGGAGCAAACACCGAGTTGCCAAGTGTCCGAGCAATGTCATGGTTTGAACGCAATCTATTCTTAAAGCCAGGGCTTTTGAGTTTCCTCTATAACCAATTGCCTTAGCAGAATAGCTCAGTTTTTACGGATTTAATTTCTTAAGATTGTCAAGAAGAACCTGTTATAATCTAACTCTAATGCTCCTATGTGTTGTTGGTTGTTGGTGGCGTGAGAATCACCGAAAAGTTCGGCGAGGCGTGAGGCGTGGAGTCTTCAAACGGGGAAGAGATGTGGGGCGTAGCTGGATGAAAAACTTTAAAACCCTAATTTGCTCTTAGGGTCTCAAACTGGGTCGCACCTGGGCTTCAAGTGGTTTGGGTTTCTACTGGGCTTTATCCTTTATTTGTATCTGGGCCTGTAAAAGAAGAGAAAGAAGGATGTATAAATGACATATACAATATATATATATAAGTAACATATAAATTATATAACATATATATATAGTTATTTATGATGGGACGAAATATAGTGTCTACAGATATAATTCGAAATACTATGACAATATAGTATTAAATAATGACTAAAATAACATTAAATAATGACTAAAATAAAAGGAATTAAAAATATAGTATCAACACACTTAATGTTATATTAATAATAAAATACCATGGATAAGTATAAGAAAAGCAAACGAATTAATAGAATAAATAAAAGAGATTTATATTTAATTAATATCTATATAATAAATTCAAATAATATTAATTTCTATTATGATTAAAAATGGATAGAATGGAAAGTAAATTTAAGATATCAATTATAAATAAATGAAAAGAAAATTAAAGTAAGGAAAAAAATAAAGTCAAAGACACAAACATTAAGATTACAACTAATTAAGGAAAATGAAACATTAAAGGCAAATTTATCGTGAATAGCTAATTGACAACGATTTTGAGAAAGTTTTTAAATAACAAATAATTGAAATTAAAGCAATTAAATCATATTCATAAATATATAAAATTCATAGTAAAAAATGATAATTATAAAGATTAGTGATTAAATTATAAAATATCAAAATTAAGGGACATTATTTGAAATACCATAAAGCCTAAATATTATCAGTGTAATTTAACCTATATAATTATACGAGATTAAAATTAAATTTGTTTAAAATTAAAAGGATTAATCATGGTATTTTACCTTAAGCATTTAAATATACAGATAAGGACTAAAATAAAATAAAATAAAATTTGAAGATAATATTAATATGTTCATAAATTGATTTCAGTGGCTAAAATGGAAGTTTATAAACTTCAAGTGACTGCGCGTGTAGTTTAACTATTTTGAAATTACACCCAGACCCCTCATCAAAACGACGCCGTTTTGATAAGGGTATAAATACCCTAAAAACCGGCTCCCTTGAGCCATTTCTTTCATTTTTCCATTTCAGCTTCTCTCTCTAGGAGAGAGAAGCTCTGCCTTTTCTCTAAAATAGAGAGGGAGACCATCGACCGACAGCTGTGCTCTGGCACCGTCGACCACCGCCGGCCACCGTCAATGGTGGCCGAAAAACCCCAAAATACCTCAAAACAGAGCTCTAAACCCTCTAAAGCCGAACCTAGCCTTAGTTTTTCTTAAAAATCTCCTAATCGGAGTAAATCTAGGACAAAACAGACAGTTTTACCTCGGTTTTTACACAGTTTCCGGTAATGTTTGGGCTTCCCGAGGGTAAGTCTTTTTCTCTCTTCTCTCTTTGCTTTCGATTTGCTGCTATGGGTATTTTTTGGCTTGCTGTTGTGGTCTGTTCGGGTTCTTGCCTCATTTCTGGTTCGTGCTTTTTTTTGTCTCTGTTCCCTTCCACTGTTTCTTCATTGGACTGGTTTAAAGAAATGGCCATCAGTGAGTCACCATAACTATGTTGGTGACTCACCATAGGGATGTCAACGTGTATGGTGACACAACACTTTTGGAGGCTTCATCGAGGTGGCGTAGTGGCAGCAAGGCGTCGGTAGCGGCGACTGGATTTGGAGGTGACGCCGCATGGTCCCGAGGGTATCATAACCCTAGGGTTTCGTCTGGAATGATCTGGGCCTTTGGATCAAATCCAGATCCAACGACTGTGATGCTGAGGCGGCTGCTGGAATGAGGCATAAACCCTAATTTGGTTTTAGGGTTTGGTTGGGCTTCTGATCGGGCTTGTAAACTGGGCTTTGGGATTTAATATTTGGGCCTCCAGGATTTGTAATTGTAAATGGACATGTAATATAAAAATTAATAATAATAAATAATAATATAATAGTAATAATAATAATAAACAAATAAAATAAAAAATGAAAAACAAAATGAAAAAAAACTAGATATTTTCAATTATTTAATAATCAATGTTCAAATACATAAATGTAGTTTTCTTAATAATAATAATTTCAAGATTATTCAATTCTTTTGTTGCCCTCCGATTCAAAAAATTTCACCTTGATTAATTTGAACCGACCCATATTGTACATTTGGCTTTGGTGGATGAGTCTACTAGCGGGAATTTTCTACATACGCAAGGACTCGAACCTGAAACTTTTCTTAATTAAGCCGCTTACTACTTGAACCAGTAACATTGGTAATATTCTTTATTTTTAACATACATTTAAGTCTATTTGAATTCATAAATTTTAATCATATAAATTTTAATTTACTAGTAAAAAACATTCAATTATGTTCAAAACGGACAATTTAATTATTTTTTTAAAAAATTAAAATGATTATGAAATAATATATGTTAATAATTTTTTAATCTATTGATAATATATATATATATATTATAATTATTTAAATTTAATTATTTTAAAAAAATTAAAATGATTATGAAATAATTTCTGTTAATAATTTTTAATCTATTGATATTATATATATATATATATATATTATAATTATTTAATTTTTAATTTTTTAAAAAATGATATTCATTTATTATTGAAATCACTTGATAAATTTAATTTTTTTTGATAATTTTAAAAATCATATTTAATGTTACATTATATTATAATTGTAATAAAAATAAAAGAAAATCATGTAATATATATATAAATTTAATAAAAAGTGTTTGACGAAGTCATAAAGAAGTTATATAATTTTTAATTTTCACAAAACAAAGTTACATAATCTTTTACCAATCCAAAAAGAAGTTGAATAATTTCTTTATTAAAACATGATTTTTGGTATCTTAAAATTAAAAATATATTAATTACGTAATATCTATGCAAATGTAAAGCATGATTAAGTAATAGCATTAAGCTGAAGTTAACAAAACTTATATGATTGGGTCCCCATCTTTCTCTCATTTATTGCAACCGCTTTCGAGAGAGTTGTGTGGAAGATAAACAAAAAGCAATCCCTTGGCTTTTGTTCATAAGAAAGATTTGATGTTTGGGTTTTCGTACTTTTAGAGAAACCCAGAAAGAAGAGAGAGAAAATAAGGAAGGAAATGATTTTCATGTCTGAGGTTTTCTTCGCTGCAGGAAAGCAGGAAGAAGTAGAGTGGGAGAAGGAGGGAGAATAATAATAATAATAATAACAAAATATTCGCTTAAAACCCCATAGCAGCACAAGAAAGAAGAAGAAGAAGAAGCCCAGAGTTTTGTTTCATCTTCTGGTAATTCTTTTCAACACACTTTGATTTTGTCTTTCTTCTCTGTTGTTGTTTCTGGGTATTATGTTAAAAGCAAATCTGAACATAATCCGTTGCATTTAGATTACTGATAACTGGCTTGTATGAACGATCAAAAAAAGAAGGATAATTTATTAGTCGTTAATAATACTAACGTCAGGTAAACGTTAGGTAAGCTGTAACATATCTAAGAAGTCAACGTTCTTCTTTCACTTCTTTTTCACCGTATTCACATCAAAACAGGAAGCCAAAAGAAGAAAACTTTTGTTTATTCACCTTATTTATGCTTTGTTTATTTTGAAACAGCGCTATTGGCAATGTCAGCGACCGTAATCGGTGAAGCCATGGCGGTATCATCAGCAGCATCAGAAACTCAGGCCACATCGGCAAAACCCGAAGTCGAGTCGGTAAAGTGCGAATGCTGTGGACTGAGTGAGGAGTGTACCCCGACGTATATCGAACGTGTACGAGAACGATATCAAGGTAAATGGATCTGCGGCCTGTGTACTGAAGCTGTGAAAGATGAGATTACGAGGACACACGGGCTCATCAGTACCGAGGAAGCAATGGCCAGGCACATGGATTTTTGCCAAGCGTTTGTGTCCTCGGGGCCGCCTGCTGATCCTACGGTTCATCTCATATCTGCCATGAGAAGTATTCTTAGGAGGAGTTTGGATTGTCCGAGAGGTTTGAGGTCAACACCGAGTAGTCCTACGAGAAAAGTGGGTGAAATTCGGGGTCCAGGGCTTACTCGCGCCGAGAGTTGTTTCCCTACGCTCTCCGGTTGAAAGAGCCGTGCTGCTGTAAGAGGAAATTCTACGTAGATTTAATCTCAAATATACTTCAGATAAACTGCACTTGTCTTTTCCATTATTGTGAGCATGTAGATCTATTTGTTGCATATTAATTTCACTTGCTGGGAAATTTTTTCTATGGTGCTAGGACAAAATTAAGACTTAAACAGGGCCGGCTCTAAGGCCCCCAATTTTTATATATATCTATAATTAGGGCTCCCAATTTATTATACTTATAATTAAGACCCTAATTTTTATAGTTTTATAAAGTTTTAGGTTTTGATAATCCTTTTCCTTTCTCTTATTAATTCATTAATTTTGAATTAAATTTAACCAGTTTTTATACTTATAATTAGGCCCCTAATTTTTATAATTTCATAAAATGTTTAGTTTTTTACCCTCTTTTTCCATTTCTCTTATTTATTTATTTATTCAATTTTGAATTAAATTTAATCATGCTTTTTTTTCAAATCTTACTTTTCAATTTATCAAATATTCTTTAATTTTTTTAGTCTTCTTCAATCTCATTCTAACAATAAAATAATATATATATAATTCTTTTTTTATTTATTATTCAAAATCAAGCTATGTATCATACATGCATTCAATTTTTTTTTATCTTTTCTCTTTTAGGTATATTTAAGGTGTTTTCTTAATAAAATAAAAATATATATTTTCATAAAATTTAATTATTTTTCTATGATTTATATAATATTGAATTGATTGTTCAAAGTAATGAAATATACTTTCATTTTATAAAGGCATATTTTTGAGTTTTTGCTCAAGACCCCAAAAATGTTTTAGACGACTCTAGACTTAACTAATCCAATTCTATATGCCTATTCCAATATAAACTATTAAATATCATTATATTTTTTATTTTGGGATGATTACAAATTGTCGGAACCGTCTTTCGGTTGGGTCCCGAAATTGGGCTTCGACTTGAAATAATGGGTTAGAGGCGCCACCGACCATTTTAAAACGAATTTAGGTGAGTCGGACACCATCTTACATGATCTGTATTGTACCAGAAATGTGTCGAGTTCGGGAGTCGGTTACGGTCAATGAAGGATTAACACCCTTGAATCGCCCTCTCGGTACCAATTAATTTATCAGTTGTCTTTAATTGTGAAAATTAAAAATTTAAATTTAAATTTAAAAGTATTCGATTCGAATTGTTTACCCTTGATCGATTGAAAGCACCCCTAGAAAGTAAAAAATGTTAGATTATAAAAATAGAAACAAATATGAAAAAAAGTATTAATATAATAATAATAACAAAATAAATAAAGAAAATAAAAATAAATAAATCGTGTAAAAAAGAAAGATAATAAGAATGCAAAAAAATAATAATAAATAAAGCATTCCCTTTGATAATAGCAAATTTAACCAAATAAATAAAATGTAGAAAGAGCAATCCATCAGACAAAGCTTTGGAATGAAACACAGAACCCATGGAGATCCATCAAACTTGCTAATAATTTTCAATTACATAACGCCTCCCAATCTCAAACAACAATGATAGAAAAACCAGCATCACTCACTACATTCTGCCGACTGGTTTAAGGGCTTTAACAGTAACCACGCTATTTCCTATGATCACACACATTTTTCTCTGTGTCCTTTCCTATTGATGCTTGAGTCTATTTATAGTCTAAAGAAACCTATTTTTAGCTCAGATTTAGAGTCCTACTTGGACTCAAATGCTTCGGTTTTAGTGTTTCAATAGGACTCAAATACGTTGGTTTTAGTGTTTTAATTGGACTCAAATACGTTGATTTATTTTCTAAATCTCATTAAATCAGGGTTGTTGATAGTAGGGCCTGTAAAAATAATAAAATAAAATAATAATAATAATAAATATAATATAATAAAATATTTTTTGTAGACTCGGACAAAAACGGGTGTTTGCAACTGCCCTTCTTTGCATATTTTTGTGTTAACAAGAATAGGGCAAAGATGAAAAAAACAACCAGTTTTTGTCCGATTCTCTTTGATTTGAGACTTGATAGTGTTTGTTGTGACACTAAGTCGATCCATTGGGCACGATATCCTTCTTCTTGAAGTTGAAATCGTGGGTGAATCGAAAAGTGACTCTTTGTTGCCAATCTTGGTCAACCTTGGTCTTCTTCTCGATTTAAAGATCTGGGTGTAAAAATTTGACCGGAAAGTAGTTCATTGACTCCAACATGTGGTTGATAAGCCCTCAAGCTGAATGGGATCGAACTCGCAAGGTATTTGTTGACAGATAGCTTTTCTTGACTTAAGTTATGCTGCCGGAAAACAATTTTTTTATCACTAAGGCACAACTAACCCAGATCTTCTTCTCGTCTTGAAAACTTCGATTGCAGCCGGACAGTAGTGTGATTGAGGTGTCATCGAGATGAATGGAATCAAACTCGACAATTTTATTGACAGTTAGCCCTTCTTTCTTTGAGCTATGCTATAAATGATGTGCCTTGGAGCTGAGCGTAGTCGAACTCGAAGGTCTTTGGTTGGCAGATAGCCCATTCTCGACGTAAGCTATGCTACAAATGATGTGCCTTGGAGTTGAGCGTAGTCGAACTCGAAGGTCTTTGGTTGACAGATAGCCCTTCTCGACTTAAGCTAAACTGAAAATGAAGTGCCTTGCAGCTGAGAGTAGTCGAACTCAAAGGTCTTTGGTGTTTCAAGAGAAACATTTTTAAAGGTTTTTTTCAAGAGAAACTGTCTCAAGAGAGACAAAACTTTGTTTCAAGGTAAATTGTCTCAAGAGAGACAAAATTTGTTTCAAAAGAAACCGTCTCAAGAGAGACAAAACTTAGTTCCAAAAGAAACTGTCTCAAGGGAGACAAAATTTGTTTCAAGGAAAACATATTCAAAGATTTTGTTTCAAGGGAAACTGTCTCAAGAGAGATGACCCCTTGTTTCGAGAGAAACAATATCAAAGGCGATTGATAATTTGCTTGTTCCTGCATATTAAATAAATTCTCTCAGAAGCTCTAATCGTTGACTTAAGGAAGTCAAATTTGTGGATGACATGGTTGCTTGTGGGCACGATTCCCTTCGTCGTGAATTTGAAACCGTGGATGACCCCTTCGTTGTGAAGTTGAGCCTTGGATTGGATATCCTTCGTTGTGAAGTTGAAATCCAATGAAAGTTGTGATGTTTCGAGTTCAATATCATTTGCCGTGAAGTTGAAATTGGATCTAAAACTGGAAAGTTTATTGACAAAAACTCATTCCTTGAGTTGGATATCCTTCGTCGTGGAGTTGAAATCCAAATATGAATATGGATGCTGCTTGTGTGCACGATTCCCTTCGTCGTGAAGTTGAAACCGTGGATGACCCCTCCGTCGAGAAGTTGATCCTTGAATTGGATATCCTTCGTCGTGAAGTCGAAATCCAAGTAAGTTGTATTGTTTCGAGTCTAATATCCTTCGATGTGAAGTTGAAATTAACTCTGAAACTGGGAAGCCCCTTCGTCGTAAAGTTGAGCCTCAAATGGCACGATATCCTCCGTCGTGGAGTTGAAATCGTGGATGTGTGGGTACGATATCCTCCGTCATGGAGTTAAAATCGTAGATGGCCCATTCGTCGTGAAGTTGAGTCTTGACTTGAATATCCTTCGTCGTGAAGTTGAAATCCAAGTATGTGTTGTTTCAAGTCCAATATCCTTCGCTGTGAAGTTGAAATTGGCTCTGAATGAAACTGGGAAGTTGTTTGTTCACAGTCAGTCGCCCTTTGCTGTGAAGTTGAGCTTGTGTTGTCTCGAGTCCAATATCCTTCGCTGTGAAGTTGAAATTGACTCTGAATGAAACTGAGAAGTTATGAAGTTGACAGTCAGTCGCCTCTTCGTTGTGAAGTTGAGCTTGTGTTGTCTCGAGTTCAATATCCTTCGCTGTGAAGTTGAGCTTGTGTTGTCTCGAGTTCAATATCCTTCGCTGTGAAGTTGAAATTGACTCTGAATGAAACTGAAAAGTTATTTGTTGACAGTCGCCCCTTTGCTGTGAAGTTGAGCAACCACTATCAATTTTTGAATGTGCTTTCGAATCGGGTATCTTTCATCTTGAAGTTGAATTTTGACTCTAAAAGCTGTAAAAAATTATGTGTGCTAAAAATGATAAATGTGATGCTCTTAAGTATGTCTAAGTTGCATGCAACATGAATGAGTTATGTCTTTTCTCTTGGATTGGAGTCCCGTGTTTTGTCTATCAATCTGGTCCTTGGAATCGATCGTGCCTCATTTGTTTCTCGAGCTTTGGCTTTACAGACCTTTCATGTCTGAGATTGTTCTGTTTGAAAATGTTTTCTCCTTTTTCTTGTTTTAGGAGGGAAAAGGATAAAAATCTTGTAAAATATTGTTCGCAATTGAATAAAATTATAAACGTGAGTTCAAAGAATATCAAAGGAATCAATAGCTCTTTTAATGCTTTCAGAGTTACAACTCTTTGACAAATGTTCAAATGGATGAGTTGGCTTTAGGTTGGCATCCTTTCTAAGGTTTCGATAACCCAAAATGTCATTTTTTTTGAAATATCGCAACATGTTTTTTTTTGGTTTGGCATTTTAATTGGGTGCGGACAAAATGACGCAACTAACATGATCAATTACTAGACCTTTTATTTCAGTCCTCTGAAATCTTCCATTTGTTCAAGTTTTGTAAGCTCCTCTAACAAATGTAGTGCATAAATATCGTCTAAAAATGAAATTCTTGAGTGCTTGTGTGAAATTGACTATAACAGGTGTTCCTTAACTCCCTTAGTCCATTTTACCAAAACTTCTTACTTAGATAAATTTGATTTAATTTTTCGTTATCTGGCTAGCTGAATCCATAAAGCCGGGGCGTTTAACCAATTGCTTTAGAGGGACAACTTAACATTATAATAGTTTTATCAAGTTAACTGAAGGGTTCATCTCATCACAAAGTCTTCGGCCGGACAATAGCATTGGAGCAAACACCAAATTGCCAAGTGTTCGAGCAATGTCATGGTTTGAACGTAATCTACTCATAAG